CACATATATGGTGTGGAAATGTATATTAACCCCTTCAGGATCAGAACTTTTATAGTCCTGTCCCCATACTTGCAGTCTCTGGTATTAGGGATGAGATTCGCATTCAGGTTGCACTGAAATTTTACCTCAATTTCCAGAATTCTGATTTTGGTGGATTTTGCCGGTTAATTAGCTATGGAGCTCACCCATAGTGCTCTGCGCAGCCTTTGTCCCTGGTCATCAGCCAGTAATGGGGGAGGAGGTGGATAACCCCGCCCCTCACTATAAGCGGGGGTGGGAGATCAGCCATAACCCCGCCCCTCACTATAAGTGGGGGTGGGAGATCATCCGTAGTGTCAGTGTGTCGGGTGATGATGAGGGAGCGCTCCTTCATAGGGACACATCAGTGGAGGGATTTAGTGAAGTGTGGGTGAGTTGTGTGTGTTGCAGTGGTGGCTCCATCTTCATCCCCCCAACACCGAGCACACAGAGTTCAGCCAGCATTACTGATGTCTCATCTTCCTTCTTCTCCTTCTCTTCTCTTTCTTTCTCCCCCTATTCATCCTGCTTTTATTCTTCCTCCTCCTCCTTTTCATCCTTCTCATCTTCCTCTTCATCCTCCTCCACATTTTCCTCCTCCTCATCCCTTTTCCTCCTATTCATCCTCCTCCACCACCACCTCATCTTCTTCCTCATCCTGCTCCTCTTCCTTCCTCCTTTTCTTCATCCTCCTCTTCCTCCTCCACCTCCTTCCTCTTCCTCCTCAATCTCCTCCTTCCCCCCTTTCTTTATGCAGTGGCAGGTAAGAGGAGCTGCGTGTGGTAATGGGACCCCGACCACCCCACCTTAGACCCTGCGGAGACCACTATTCAAAAGTCTCTGTGGACTCTGCGGGGCCTCCGGTGGGTCTAGAGTCCAGTGAGTTGCTAATTCATATACTGTTCTGCATTGCTGTATAAGGTATTGCTGGGATTTATAGTCCCTCTACATCTGGTGCCATCGTGTATTAGAGTGTAAGCTCCTCTGTACAGTGACTGATGTGACTGGCTCTGTGTTCTCTGTACAGCACTGCGGTATATGTCAGAGCTATATACATGTATAATGATAGTGTGTGACTGTGGGTGGACATTAGAGTGTAAGCTCTTCTGTACAGAGACTTCCGGGAGGGGTTGGGGGGGTTGGTGAGCCAGCGAGATCTGTCTCGGGGTGGGGGGGCCCAAGATAAAATCTTGCACCAGGGCCCTTTGTTCCTTAAGTCCGCCACTGATTCCAACCTGACCCCATATCCACATCTAGATAAATCCAAGCTCGGGGGAACTTAGTTGTCACCCATTCTCTACGTAGATAGCTGGTGGGAAGTGAATCCTTGTGGAGATGATCGTATCCTCACGGTCTTCTCACTAGTTCCGACCATGCCCTTGTTCACGTCTCCACATTGCTCCTCTTGTCCAGTTTAAGAAGGATATGTGTTCTGAGGTCAGACCATGACTCGGTCCTCACCTCCATGTCGTCTATAGCCTTGCGGCATGGAATGGATGCTGAACATCTCCTTTCTGGCCAATCCCGGGGTTTGTGCTAAAACAGAACTTTTTCTTAGAGACAATTTAAATAATAATCCGCTTCCGGGCATATCTCCTACGGAAGGCACACAAAGTGGTACCCGGGGGGAAAGTTCCTCCAAATTGCCTCCCAGCTTAAGAAGGAGAGGTGATGGCCTCCTCAAAGCTGGAATCTGAATTTCAGAGGTTTGCTTCTCGGTTTAAATATTCTCCATTTCCCATTAATAAGCTTTTAGCGGCTCAAAGTAACTCGGACTTGTCGATGACCCAGCAGGCCAAAAAGCAACATAGAGGCCCATCTCATGAGCTTTATCTGAAGGGCAACAAACTGAACCCAATGCTGGTCTTTAGGCTGCATAATATTGAGCCATCATATACACCTTACAGGCTGCGAGTGGAGAACAATGTCTGTACTTGTAACCCAAACTCCTAAAATTCTTCATTTTCATCTCCATGACCTTCATGAGACCTTCTTCCGAGCCGAACAGATATTTGAGGACCTACATCTCCCAACAATTGGATAAATATTCTATTCATCGTTCCTTGTCTGCAGATCTGAAACTAAGATTAAACGAGAAAAACAGGAAGTGTAATTTCTGATCAGGCAGAGAGAACAAGAAAGTTCCTACCAGGGAGGCACCGATACCAGTTTTTCCTGGATAGAGTAGGAGTACCGATACTTTTTTTTTCGGTACTCGCCGATACCGAGTACCAGTGCCATGTGTCCAGATTATCAGGAAGTCGGGTGGCGAATTATGACCCGTCGCCCGGCTTCCCGATTGCCTGTGAAGCCGGTGTTCTAGCGAAAGAACACCGGCTTCACATGCCAAGCCTGCTTGGCTTCCTGACAATCAGGAAGCCAGGAGGCGGGTCATTACGTGCCATTGGCTTCCTGATTGGTTAGCAAGCCAGGCAGCATACCAACAAGTCAAGCAGGCTTCCTAGTCAATCAGGAACCAGGGCGGCACGTAATGACCTGCCTCCCGGCTTCCTGATTGACTAGGAAGCCGGCTTCACTTGTTCCTAGGCAGGCTGGCTTCCTGACCAATCAGGGAGGCGGGTCATTACGTGCCTACCGGATTCCTGATTGGTTAGGAAGCCTGGCTGCCTAGCAACAAAGTGAAGCCGGCTTCATAGCCAATCAGGAAGCCGGGAGGCGGGTTATAACCCACTGCCCGGCTTCCTGATTGGAAAGGAAGCTGGCTCCATGCTCCCTCGGCACTTGAGGTCAGAGCGAGATCTCCCTCTGACTGGAAGTTCCGATATCGGAGCATTTGGGCGAGTATGAGTACGTGCCCAAATACTCTCAGTATCGGTGCATCCCTAGTTCCTACCAACCTGAAAGGTGTAAGAAACCCAACAAACACTAAGTGATCCAGTCTACATGGGGCAACTCCAACTGGGGGCATCCCAACTATTACCCCCTTATATCCCCATCCCAATATTATACAGCCAGTACAGTCCAGATAATTCTCCACCATCTGTCCACAGAGATCACATGACCACACCAGTGAAGATGGAGGAGGACCGGAGTCACATGACTGAGAGGATACTCAACCTCACCCTGGAGATCATCTACCTGCTGACCGGAGAGGTGAGGAGGATTCTGGGAGGTCATATGACTTCACTCTTATCTCTATTCATAAAACACAGACCTGACCGTAGAGGTGAGGAGGATTCTGGGATTCCAACATGATATTCCTATTGTTTTCTCCATCCAGAGTTTTCCTCTTCTGAAGTCAGGTGATCATGTGACCATCACAGTGCCCCCATGTGACACCCTAAAACCCGAGAGACACAACATGGAGAAGATTCTAGAAGTCACCAAGAAGATGATGGAGCTGCTGACAGGAGAGGTGAGCGGTGTCGGGAATTCTGGGACATGATCCAGGAACAGACAAGGGATGTGTCTGATGATTGTTTTCTGCCATTCTGTTGGTTTAGGATGAAGATCTGATTGATATAAAAGTTGAGGGTGAAGTAGAAGAGACGTATGTGGAGGAAGATCGGAATTATACGGAGGAGGATGGAATGATGAGGACACTCATAGAGGAGGATGGAACAACAAGGACGCTCATAGAGGAAGATGGAGTCATCAGGGCAATCAAAGAGGAGGACATTCCTACGGAGATCAGCACAGGTGAGCCATATTCTTCTGTTATCTCTGCCATGTTATTGGACACTGATTGGTCCAGAGTAGGGTGGGATCTGAGTGATATCAGCCAATAGTAGGTTGGTAATGGTCACCTCCCTGTACTGATCCCCGTCCTGGGGCTCAGCTGGCAGTATTGGGTTGGGTGTCACTCCTAGTTCCAGTAGCACAGATATGAGGACACAGATTGGGCCTTTCTTAGGTCGGTTCCTCTTCTTCCAGCAGACTTCTAGCTAAACATAAAACTCTATTATCAGTCTTGTTGGGATGAAAAGTAACAAAGACTGAAACACTTCTCTTTCCAGGAGAACATACTTCTCCAAGCTCCCTCCAGTGCTGCTCATCACCAGAAGCCTAGGCCGGGGGTCACTTGTTCTGTGGTGAAGGGTCTACAAGTCTGAAGTTTGATCCTCTTGTTCCTCAGAGATTACATGACCCAGTGCCTAGGCTTGTTCCTCCCAGTCCCCATTGGCTCCGCCTCTTCTGACAGGGCTATGTAAATGTAGAAGTGATCTGGGAGGAGGACCAAAGGCCCTTTGACTGAAGAGGGGAGGAGTCCCGGCTGGTTGGGACCTCCACAGAGAACATCTGCTCCCTCAGACCTCCTGATCCAGATGGAATGTTGAGTGAAGTCATCTAACCCTCTCATATCTCTCCATCATGTGTTTCTATGTTTCCAGGACACGCCATGGAGAAACCCTCAAAGGATCCTCTGACTTTATCTCCAGGTTGTAAGATGGAAGATGAGGACATCACAGCAGATTGTGCGGGAGAAGAGACAATGAGCTCAGCTATGGATGGTGGACTTCACAGTGTGGATAGACCATGGAGTCCCTCTGACTCTGAGCAACCTCATCCTGTGGGGGATGGTGCCGGAATTCAGGAGGAGAAGACATTTCCCTGTGCTGAGTGCGGGGAAAGTTTTACCTCTGAATCAGATCTTTGCGTACATCAGAGTTCTCACATGGGTGACAAGTTTCTTTACTGTTATGAGTGTGGGAAATGTTTTCTTTTTAAATTTGCGCTCATTAACCATTATAGATCTCATACGGGGGAGAAGCCATATTCCTGCCCAGAGTGCGGGAAATGTTTTTCACAAAAGTGCCAACTTAGCCAACACCAGAGATTACACACGGGGGAGAAGTCATATTCCTGTTCTGAGTGCGGTAAATGTTTTTCACTAAAGTGCCATCTTACCCAGCATGAGAGATTGCACACGGGGGAGAAGCCGTTTTCTTGCCCTGAGTGCGGGAGAAGTTTTTCACACAAGTCCAGTTATATCAGACATCAGAGATCTCACACGGGCGACAAACCTTTTGTCTGCACTGAGTGCGGCAAATCTTTTTCAGCGAAGTCCACTCTTAACTTACATCAGAGATTACACACAGGCGAGAAGCCGTATTCCTGCCCCGAGTGTGGGAAATCCTTTTCACAAAAGGCCCATCTTGCCAGTCATCAGAGTTTGCACACGGGCGAGAAGCCATTTCCGTGCACAGAGTGTGGGAAGTGCTTTCTTCATAAATCCAAACTGCTCAAACATTACAAATCTCACGTGGGGAAAAAGCCAAATTCCTCCCCAGAGTGAGGGAAATGGGTTTTACAAAAGAACCATCTTTCGGTTCTTCAGAGATTTTGCATGGGCGAGAAGCCATATTCCTGCCCTAAGGGTGGGACATGTCTTCTATATGCCATATATCAGAGATGTCACACAGGTAGGAGGCCATTTTCCTGCCCTGAGCACGGGAAACGTTTCTCCCAGAAGTCTCGTCATGTCAGGGTACCAAGGGTCTTACCACTCCTCGGGGTCGCCATGTGCGGCAGAGCACACGGGTTCTCCTTCGTGGCAGGACCCCTGGCGCCAGGGTTGCGGGTGCCCATGCGCGGAGGACAGGCTGCGCGCGCCTTCACGGGGGCGTGCGCCTGTGCCCATTACTGGTGTCAGGTGGGGGCCTTGCTGGGGGAGGTTCCCAGCACACACCCTCTGCCTTTCTCTTGCTATTGGCTCCTGGATGGAGAAGCTTTCTGGTTGCCTCGGCAACCAGGGGGTGGTCTCAGTTCCCCACTGGGTATAAAAGCCCAGTCAGAGCCCTGGCTCATTGCTGAGTTATTCTACCTATATGGTGCATCGCCTAGCCTCCTGTGTTTTCTGCTGCTGCTATTTCCTAACCCCTCGTCTGACTTCCTGTTGCTGACCGAACACAGCCGCCTGCCTCGACCCGGACCGGACTTTGACTTCGCCTTTGGATTGCCCCTTTGTACCTCGCCTTCGGACTATGGCCCGTTCCTGCCAGTGGATGCCGCTTCCCGGCCCAGGCCGACGATTACCTCCGGGCAGCTAGACCCTCGGGCTCCTCCAGCAGCCCTAGTGACGGTCCAGTCCGTCACACCGTTTACCTGTTACCCTCATCAGCACCAGCTGTCTTGGTTTGTAAGTAGTGTCAGTGTATGGCCAGGCACATTAGCCCACAGCTGATTGAGACCTGATGAAGGTGTATGGACAGGCCCATTAGCCCACAGATGACAAGACTGGGATAGGTGTGACAACAGGCAACCACCAAATGGAGCTGGAAGGTTGTGACAGACATAGGGGTATTAGACATGCTCCTAACAAGGGCTTCATGTATAAAAGTTCCACTCGGCATATAGCCAGCCCAATGCTGGTCACATGGCACTAGCATACCTAGATGGCGCTGGGGAGTATAGAAATTCTATAGTTGTCAGCACCATCTAGGATTGCTAACATGGCCGGATTTGCTCTCTCTGCTGCCACAAGGCCAGGTTCCTCAATGTCGGGTAACAGGCTGAGAATCCCATCGCCGGGATCTGGCATCAACCGGTCGGCCGCCCAAGCAAACTGCCAGTCCAAGCCAACTGATGTCCCAACCGCTGCACTGAGGAGCTTGGGAGTCCATGGTCATACCACCTCTGAGTAGTATGGGGGGTTCACTAGGACCGACAATGCGCTCAGCCAAACTCCCAGATACCTCCAAAGCAGTGGCCACCCGACCCAGGTCACCACATACCTCGGAGAATGCAGTGACACCATTCAGAAACCAGGAAGGCTCAAATGGAGCTCCCCCGTTTCCCGGAACATCATCACTACCAGGTCTGGGCTTGCGCTCATGATCACCCCACCTAAAGTGGACGCCCAGGCCCCTCAGCTGCAAGGGGCACAACCACATCACCAAGACCAGATCAGACATTGGGCGAAGGTCCCACAAAGTTCAGCTGGGCAGCAGGCACTGGATCAGCAGAGGAGAGGAGCTGGGCAGCAGGAACCAGATCAATGGAGGCGAAGAGCTGGACAGCAGGCACAGGATCAATGGAGGCGAGGAGCTGGGCAGCAGGAACCGGATCAACGGAGGCAAGGAGCTGGGCAGCAGGAACCGGATCAACGGAGGCGAAGAGCTGGACAGCAGGCACAGGATCAATGGAGGCGAGGAGCTGGGCAGCAGGAACCGGATCAACGGAGGCGAGGAGCTGGGCAGCAGGAACCGGATCAACGGAGGCGAAGAGCTGGACAGCAGGCACAGGATCAATGGAGGTGAGGAGCTGGGCAGTAGGCACAGGATCAGCAGAGGCGAGGAGCTGGGCAGCAGGCAAAGGATCAGCAGAGGCGATGAGCTGGGCAGCAGGCACAGGATCAGCAGAGGCGAGGAGCTGGGCTGCAGGCACAGGATCAGCAGAGGCGAGGAGCTGGGCAGCAGGCACAGGATCAGCAGAGGCGAGGAGCTGGGCAGCAGGCACAGGATCAGCAGAGGCGAGGAGCTGGGCAGTAGGCACAGGATCAGCAGAGGCGATGAGCTGGGCAGCAGGCTCAGGATCAATGGGTTCCCACTGAGCAGTGGATTAAGGAGCAGTGGGGTCCAACTGGAGAACGTACATAGGGTTGACAGAGTCCGGAAGGACAACAGAAAAACACTGCTCTGGTTGAAATGGAGTCTCTGGACATGCGTTATGGTGCAGAACAACTATAGTGGAGGCCAGAGGGCAGGAGGTCTTAAGAAATGGGCGAGGACCCCACTCGCTTGAATGGGCCAGCCTGTTCAAAAAATGAAGGGAACCTCTTGGGATGGTGTGGCGGGATGTGAATAATGGAGGTCCCTTGAATAAGGGGTTCTTTTGCCAGGGAAGGCTGGGCTGGCACCGAAGCTGGAGCAGGCTGGGCTGGCCCCGAAGCAGGAGCGGGCTGGACTGGCCCCGAAGCTGGCCGGACTGGAACCGAAACAGGCCGGACTGGAACCGAAGCAGTAGCAGGCCGGGCTGGAACTGAAGCAGGAGCAGGCCGGGCTGGAACCGAAGCAGGAGCAGGCTGGACTGGTACCGAAGCAGGAGCAGGCCGGACTGGAAACGAAGCAGGAGCAGGCTGGACTGGAACTGAATCAGGAGCAGGCCGGGCTGGAACTGAAGCAGGAGCAGGCTGGACTGGAACCGAAGCAGGAGTGACTGCGGTTGTCATGGGCAGCATGGTTAAAGCTGATCCGGATCTGGAAGGGGGACTAGACTGCATGGACTAGGGATGTCCCGATACCACTTTTTCAGGACCAAGTACAAGTACTTCCCGAAGCAGGAGTCCTCTGCTGATTGACAGCAGCAGTGGGCGAGTGCAATCGCCAGCCTGCTATTGGCTATTGCAATTTGAATAGCCAATAGCAGCCTAGCTATTTATTCCATTGCTGTCTGTTGTTGTTGTTTTTTTTTCTTTTTAACTCTGACGGCTGTCAAAATAAATGACATCACGCAGGAAGAATAAATTGTCAGTGATGTCCCTGCAGCTTAGTGCCAAGTGGTCTCTGGTGATGAGGTAGGATTGCCACCTTTTCTTCATGCAAAACCCGAACACTATAGCGCCGCATAGCAAGAAGCGAGGAGAGACAGCCAGGGGAGAAGTGAGGAAAGATATATTTTTATGTTGCATGTATTAAAGAAAGTAAATGCAAGTATAATACTTCCAGATATTTATAAACACCCTCAGAGTTCACAGTAACCTCCCCCCCCCCGTGTTAAACTCATCTCCTCCCTGATTGATTGCTGATTCTCTGCAGCTCACAACCGCCATGACTTCCAGGTGATGCGGACAGTCAGCTAAAACAGGGGCTGTGTGGTGTCTTAGGGCCCGTTCACATCAACTGCGGTGTGTTCCAGAGCGGCAGCTGCTGGAATGTTAGGGCCACGAAAGCAAAATAAGAAAAGTGGCCCCATGGGATTGTGGCCCCTATCACCCATGTGTTTATAAATCTAATTATATTCAATAGAGGTGTGTGGTGACGGTCATGTACCTGTCTCTCTGGGGCGGCTTTGCTGGTTCTTTCTGCTTTGTCTTTCAGGTTACAAGCTGCCTGCTGTTGCTAGGAAGATTTACCTCAGTTGCTGGACAGACCTTCAGTCAGCTGAGCACAGGATTGGTGAAAGACTTTTGGCGGCAAAACAGCTGACCAATAAGTGTAACTTTTCCCCTCTACAGTCACTGCTGTCCCGGGGGGTGGGGGGGTCAGCAGTTACCTCAGTTGCTGGGCAGACCTTCAGTCAGCTGAGCACAGGATTGGTGACAGACTTTTGGCGGGAAAACATTGGTTACACCAATGAGTGTAACCTTTCCCTTCTATAGTCAGTGCTGTCAGTAGGCGGGGTCAGCAGTTACCTCAGGACTGTCAGCTGGACTCACCTCTGGATCATCTTCAGAATTCCTTTTGGATCTTTTCACCTGCTCACAGCCCGGAATGGATTATTTACTTCAGCGTGACTTCAGAGGGCGGATTCTCCTGATGGGGGGACCGGCTCAGACATTTGTAACTATTCCTGACTACAGCTGCCTCTTCCATTCCATCTGTGGCCCCTGCGCCTCTCATTCCTGATGTGCCAGCCTCATAGGGTTGCCACCTGTCCGGTTTTCAACCGGACAGTACGGTTTTGGCATCTTGTGTCCGGTTTTCCGGCCACCGTAGCCCCGTACACGAGATGTCACAAGTTCAGGCAGACAGGGGCAGCCCCTGGGTCCTAGAGAGTAATGCGTGAAGGAGGACCTTCTGCTGTGCTGTGTGAGCACAATCCCGGCAGAGCGTGCGGCTGTCTGTGAGGCTAGAGGTACGTGTTTTAAGGGGTTAATCCGGGCTGGCTGTAGTGTGCGATCGTTATATAGACAGTGCCCGATAGTCTCTGAACTGTCACAGCACTGCCTCCTGTCCCGTTGGAGCTGCGTGTGGGGGAAGGGGGGGGGGGGGGGGTGGGGGGGGGTGGGGTGGGGGGGCCCTTCTTCGGGACGCAGAAGCGATCTGGCGACAGGTAAGTCGCCAGGATCGCTTCTGTTGTAAAGCCGACATTCGGCTAGTGACCAGATTCCCTTGAAAGAAGTTTCTGCATAAATCATGGACACGAGGAATCTGGTCACCTTATTCTTTACAGGTTCTGACAGCAATAGCTAAAATCAGCATAAGAATTACTCACTATCTCCCCCCTCCCCCCGCTGGTTTGTTAGTATTGCACATAAAACATGCCCCCATTAAAGAAATGCCACAGGTAACCCATGACATGTTTTGTGGGGGCGTCTTTTATGTGCTATAGTACATATCACCTAAAACATATGTCCAGATTCCATGTTAGTGCATCATCC